GGCAGGAGCGTGAAGCCAGAGATACACGCCGCAGCCTGACCTAGAGGCCCTGTCGGCATGTCAGTAATAGGGCACATTTCAGCCTTCAGTATAGGACTTAGCCAAACAAGGAGCAGGCGCCGAACAGTTCTAAGGTGGGGGAAACGACCCGCAAAAAAGACAAAAGTCCTCAGGTTGCCGTGGAGGGATGGAGCTCAGAAAGAAAGGGAACTTTTAGCCTGGGTTTCAACTGACGAAGTTTCCAGAGGGATCTTTAGTCTCACTACCTGCCTTTGTTAGTCCACTTCTTAGGAGAGTAGGGTGAGAGCCCATCACCTCTTCGTTCTCTCCATCTAGCCTCCGCTCTAGGTGACACCTGTAACCTATCGAGCTTTTTACGGGCAGTGATTTCTCCTCTGTGTCTTCCACTACCAGGCCAAAGTTTCTTCTTTCAGACCAAGTTCTGGGTTCTTTCGACCAAAGTTTTTCAAATGTGGTGAGGTTAGCTATAAAACCGAATATAAATGGTAGGCCACAGCATCTATTCTCACAAAACAGACAGAATAGGCTGCCTCCCTGTCCCACAGGCTGCATGGTAATGTAGCTCAAGGAAGGTATGCCTATACAGTGTGGGTGCGCGCGCTAGGGTCAGTACTTTATTACTGGTGAGACACCTGTATAATATAGAGAGACAAGATAATACACATATATAAGCAGCCTCCTTCCTCTGCAATCCAAGCTACAAGTACCTTAATTTGCATCAAGTATATAGATATATATATATAATTACATCCTACAAGTGTTTCATGTCATTCCCGACCACAACTTCTGGGTAAAAGCATGCTACTGCCTTTTTCTTAGACACAGGGTGGCGAGAAGTTAGGGCGATCCTGTATTTAAATCCTCTAACATTCTTCACCTGTCTTTGTTGAGGTTTTCTCACGATCTGGCAGTTGAGAACAAGTTGTAAAGCATTCTGGAAGTAACAAGAGACATCTAATGTATACGGATTGAGTCGCTTAGCTTAGATTGAAAGAGGTAGTTAGTTTAGATAGATATAAAATAAATAAAAATAAAAGAGAGAAATAAAAATAATAATAGAATAAAATAATTCAGGGACAGGTAAAGAATTTTCATAGGGCTGACGCGCCCTGCAGCGTCACACTGTACATCATAGCACATACATATATAGAGAAGAGCATATATAAGATAGAGAAAGATATACATATAGAGAGAGAAGATGAATAGATATGCAGACCAAAGATAAGAGGACAAGATAGAGAAATAGACAGATCTCTGCCGATAAAAGAAAAAATAAGACAGAGAGATGAAAACAAAGATAGAGACACAATACAGAAAATATACATATAAAAAACGAAAATATAATAGAGAGGACGAAGATGCGGCAGGGAAGATCATTGAGCCCAGGAGTTTGAGATGCTGAGCTCAATGACGACACCCATGCATCCTACAGAAAAGAACTGTAGAATAACTAAAAACAAAAAAAAGCAAGAAGACAAGACTCCTGCTCCTCCAAACAAAAAGAATTTCTTTTTTCATAGGAGGCTCTCCGACTATTATCTGAATCGCTTTCGCATGTCAGTCCTTCTAACATCTTCATCAGTGAGGTGACAATTAACGTGTATTTATCTTTAGACAGGTAGTGAAATTAATCCTTCAGCGTCAGATTACGGGCAAAAGTCCTTTGGAAGAAAACTCATGTCCACACCACCAAAAAAAAAACCAAAGTGATATACATTAGACAACAGAGAATATGCACAATCACGATACAAAATAAGATAAATACATAACAAATATAGCATCAAAATCCACAAAATAAGCGAAGACACAAACTCACACAACAGCCAACCCGGTACGTCCACTCGAGCTGGCCCCTACAGATCCACGGAATACGGAGCACACACCGGTGCGTCTGCCTCCTATAGCTCTGCATTCCGTGAGGCGACCAGGACTCAACACAGAAAGATAAAAGGTGTTGGTGGCGGGCGTAATGGTGATCGGCGCTCCACTCTGGGCGTAACTCTTACTCTTACTCTGTTTCTCCCAGTCAGACACGACAGAGCCTGCCTCACTCTCGTAGTGTTGGTGACACAGCACACTGTCCCTGCTCCAAGGGCCCTCGCAGAGCAGACACCGGCTGCAAGTGCTGGAGGAGGAGAGGAGACCACATAAGCAGACAGACTAATGGGCGTGGGTGGAATATACAGAAAAGGAGCATTTTAAGCAGCAAGCACCAACGCGGTTTTAAGCATGGAGAGGTCTCGACACGCTTCCACCGGAGAGCGCCACATTATAAAGCAATAAGGAAAAGAAGCAGAAAAAAATAGAGATACAAGCAAAGTCTGCTGGAGAGATAATGCCCAACCTGTGGAAAGCAGCTGAGAAAGTTTGAAGACCACCGACTGGGAAAGCCGGCAGGCGTCAACTCCTCCATAAACCCAAGAAGACGGTAATCCAGAAGATGCATACGGGTGCAACCATGGAATGGGCACTCCGCCCCCCAGCCCACCCCAGGTCGGCGACACACTGAGACGTTACCAGGAGCCCTTGACAGATTCCACCTTCAACAGGGAATGTTTGTTGTAGAGATATTTCTAGTAGATAACAAAAAACAATTGCCCGGTGCAGTTCACCCCGAGATGCTAACAAGACAAGCACAGTCCTCATAAGACACAAAACTAAAAAGAGGATATCCATCACAGACTCAGTGGGGACAACGTCAGCAACAACTCATATCATAGAGATAGCGTGTTGTGCAAGTATATATATTAACAAAATCCCTAAACTGCTCTCTTAACACACAGTTCTTTCCTGGCAGGTACCCTACACACAACCTCCCAGCTAAATCACCGATGGTACTTTATTAATGCTGTGTAGCAGGGAATTGGGGTTTCGCACGGGAGCTACAGAGAAACCTAATTCCACTTTCCAAGATTTAATACAGAGAGAAACTTCCCACAGATATGCACACATGCAAATGCGAGGGATAACACGAGAGAAGAGAGCACCATAGCATAACAGGGATTACAGGCGGGCACGCGCGCAGCAACAGGAAACTGCATCTGCCAGGCAGAGTGGAGGATGATGCTCTAAAGAGATAACACGGCAAGAAGCGCGCGAAACGAAATAAGCAACGGTCCTCAGGGGCAGGAGCAGACACTCCTGTAAAACGAAGGCGGCCCAGGGGGACGTGAGGCAGGCCTCGCAGCGAGGGCAAAAAACAAAAGAGAACTGGGCCTACTGGTCGCCTCAGGAACAGAAGAGCCGGGCTCCAGGGACAGGGGCCGCTCGCCCGGCCATCACCGCACCAGCCCTGACCTTCGACGGGGTCCCCTGCCCCGACCCCTCGGGCCGACAGCCACAGAGCACCGATCCAGCCCAGAAGAAAGAGCACAAAACAACACGCGCCCGCCAGGAGAGAAAACAGAGAGCAGACCGCGACATACAGAACAGCACAATTAGAGCCGGCTAACCGGACCAAAAGGCCCGACCGAGCACACACGCGGCCGGGCCGCACCCGGCCGCCCCCTCCGTGATGATGTCGTGCAGGTAGCCGGAACGGGCTTGCTCAGCAGCTTCTCCGTTCAGCGGGCCTCCGGACTCCACTTCCCCACCGCGCTCCTGCGTCGCCTCACCCCGCCCCGCGTTCAATGGGGCGGGGGCGGGGGCCCGGCCCCGCTTGCCCGGCTGGCCGCCCGCGCCCTCCGCCGGCCGGCCGACCTAAGCCCGGGTCCTGCGCCCGCCGGCCCCCCGCCGCGCCGCGGCCGACGTGCGCGCCGCTCGGGTTTCATCCACGGCGAGTGCACCGGCGCCCGCCACGGCCCTGCGCGGGGCCGCCGGGCGTCGGCCTCCGCCAGGGCTGCGCCGGCTTAGCAAACTCAGTAATATCCATGCTCCAAAGGATACCACACATAGCTCAGACAGCTTGCAAACACGGCTTGAGATGCTGACATACGGGCTACTCCAAAGAAAGTGGGAAAATACCCAAACATAAATATACGCCCGACAGAGAAGGTGAAAAGCAATAAATCTTAAGCCAACTGGCAAGATGAAGACTTGGGCAAATTAGCTCAAACTCTGAAAAATGCTACTTTCTCCACATGCCTGGTGGGGAATCACTAACCTCTAAAAAAAAGCAAAGATTTAATGTATTTTCCTGACTTCCTCAACCAAATTATCTTCCACCATCCCAAGATCCACATCCGTAATAAAAGACCTCATAAGCCACTATCAATTGATCAATTCCACCCAATGTTTCATGATCTGAAAAGTCTGTCACCCCTTGCCTGGATTCTCAATTCATTCCTTCACCAAATATTTACTGTGGACCTACTACATGTCAGATACTCTGCTAGGCTGGGAATTCAACAGTGAACATAAGAGTAAAAAATCCAACTTACACTCTTATACAGCTTATGTTCCAGAAGAATTCTTCTTGGATATAAAGTAGGAACTGGTTCAAAACTTACTGAATAATGCCTTAATGAATGATTGAACAATAAACTGCTATTAAGGGACAAAAAAAACACCTGGCAGGAAAGAAACTGGAATCTCTTTGAGTTTCTACTAAGATCCAACATTGTCAGAATTTTAAATTGGCATAAAAGAAAACCAGTTTCCAGCCATGCACAGTGGCTCACATCTGTAATCCAGCACTCTGGGAGGCCAAGATGGCAGGATCACTTGAGCTCAGGAGCTTGAGACCAGCCTGAGCAAGAGTGAGACCCCATCTTTACTAAAACTAGAAAAATTAGCTGGGCATGGTGGTGTGTGCCTGTACTCCCCCTTGGGAGGCTGAGGCAGAAGGATCACTTGAACCCAGGAGCTTGAGGGTGCAGTGAGCTATGATGATGTCACTGCACTTCAGCTGGGGTGACAGAGCAAGACTCTGTAGACTCAAAAGAAAAAAGTTTCCTAATCACATTATAAGACAGAAACCATTTTAGAGACTATCACAAACTCTTTCTAAGTTAAGGCAGAAGTTTCCAACAAGACTTTACCTTCCTCTCCACTTTGTCGTGCTCTCTGCTCTTCTCCTTGTCGGGGTCCCGGGAGTGCTCCCCATTTCTCATTCTCCGTTTATCCCTGTCCCTCCCTTTGTCTCGGTCTCGATCTCGGTCCCTGTCTCGCAATCTCTCTTTTTCTTTTCCTCCATCACTCTTCCTCTCTCTCTCCTTCTCTCGTTCTAAATCTTTGCCTCTGTCTCTGTCTCTCTCTCGCTCTTGCTTGGACCTAGCCTTGCTTTTTTCTCTCTCTCCTTCTCTGTATTTCTCTCTCTCAGAGTCTTTATGTCTCTCTCTGTCGTTCTCCTTGGCCCTTTCCTTTTCTCTTGGTTTGCTTTCTTCTTTCAACTCTTCTTTCTGTTTTCGCTCTCTGCTTGTACTTCTCTCTTCTATCTCTGAGTTTCTTCTATCCTAAAAACATCAAAAAACAGTATCATTTATGAATGTTTCTACCTAAACCACAGAAAACAATTTCATTTTCAAATATGTGCAACTTGCAATTCACCTCTTTATCTTTGTGAGTTCTGGACTCTTCTTCTCTCTCATTTTTATTATCCAATTCTTGAGATTGTGAAGTCAGTGAGGCCCTTCCTTTCACATCTCCCTTCTCTCCAGCTAAGACTCTCTTCACGGCATCATCACTGGAGAGCTTGCCGTCCAAATGTAGGAGAATGAAATGCAAGGTGAGAATGAGACCACACACATAACAGGAATGTCAGCATTCAAAGACAGCTTATTACACAGATCCTTTGTTGACCAATGAAATTCAAAGGATAGAATGTTAAAAGAAAATGTTATCACAAAGCACAGCATCTGAAGTTCATAACTATTGCTCTTAACACTTTAGTCATTAACAGTAAAGTTCACCCAAGCTAAACGAATCCTATTTCAATTCTACTCAAGCTGCCAAGTACGTATGTGTGTTGTTCAAGAACAGTAAAGCTGACCCACAGAACTCCACAAATACCTTTTATTTCCACAGCAGAAACCCAGCTGAAGGGCCTTAAGATTTGATCTAACCGCCTCATACCCATTACAATAGCTGCTACTAAAAAAACAGAAAATAGTAAGTGTCGGCAAGAATATGTACCTTGGACACTGTTGGTGGGAATGTAAAATGGTGCAGCTATTAAGGAAAACAGTATGGCAGTTCCTCAAAAAATTAAGCATAGAATTACCATACGACCCAGCAATTCCCCCTCTGGGTCTATATATACAGAAGAACTAAAAACAGGGTCCTGAAGAGACATTTGTGCACTCATGTCCCATGTTCACGACAGCATTATTCACAACAGCTAAAATGCTGAAGCAACCCAAAAGTCCATCAATAGATGAATGGATAAACAAAACGTGGTATGCGCGTACAACGGAATATCATTTGGCCCTAAAAAGGGATGAAATCCTGATACATGTGATACATGCTAGAACTTGGATAAATCTTAAGGACATTACTAGGTGAAATAAGCCAGTTACAAAAGGACAAATAATCTACGATCCCACTTGCACGAGGTACTGAGAGGAGTCAGATTCATGGAGACAGAAAGTAGAACAGTGGGTGCCAGGGCCTGGGGGGTGTGGTGGGCAGGAAGGGAATGAGAGTTTGATGGGGACAGAATCTCAATTTTGCAAGGTGAAAGAGTTCTAGAGATGGGTGGCAGTTGATAGTTGCACAATATTATGAACTGTACACTTAAAAATGGTTAAGACGATAAATTTTATGTTAATGGCCATTAACACAACTTGTAAAAACTGAAAAAAAAAAAGATGTGATCTAATTCAAGCCCTATCAAGTGCAAAAATTCCTTCTCCAGCATCCCTGACAGCCATCTAAGGTCCCTGATCGCTCCAGTCAGGAGTCCTGCTCACTCACACACTCCTGCTCACTCACACACTCCCTCCACAGGCAAGCACTGCGTGACTGTGACGAGCCCGGCTCCATGGGCCCAGGACACACCAAGGACTGGGGCAGACAGAAAAATACAACAGTTAAATGTCAATAGGCTGTGGGGACTTGATGGGGGCACCTAAGTCACCTGGAGGGAGGAAAGACCAGGACTCAGGGAAGGGCTCACAGACAACTGCTGCCAGGTGAGGCTGGAGGAGGAAGGCAGCTCAGGCCCCAAGAAACCAGCCTGCACTGAGGCAGGAGGCATAGTGAGGGAGCCAGTGCTGACTTCAGGGGTGCGCAGTGACCGGAATTGGAGGGGCACAGATGTGGGGACAAGACAAGGGCCTGAAAGGAAAAAACTAGCAGCAGGTCTCTAGGGGCCTCGTGAGCCACACCACGGAGCAGGCTGTGCCTGGAGACAACCAGAACATAGCAAAAGATGCAGCAGGGAAGATGGAAGTCAGATTTACTTTTCAGAAAGATGAGCAAGATGAAGGCTGCAGGGAGCAGGGAGTAAGGAGGCTGGGGACAGAAGCCAACACACTGGCAAAATCAGCTTCAAGTCTCTAAGCCCAAGTTATGGACCTATACCAGGACAAGGCTCTCTCAAGACTTCCTAGGAGACAGCCTGACTCCACTATGCACCCCTACACCCCACTGCTGTTACAGGGAATGAAACCCACCTGTATGCATTTTGGTAACATCTAAGGCTAGCCCGCAGCCAACTACCCACTGGGTACAGGAAGGGCTGTGTTAATTTTACTCTGGGACAGGTCCAACTCCACTCCTCCATGAGGGCTACTTGGCCTGACGACGAAGGCAGGCCCTGGGGGTGACCTCCTCCAACATCCAGGCAAATATGGCCCAGGCTCAACCTAACCAGAAAGCCTGACATCCAAGTTTCCAGCCCACAGCGAGCAGCTTAGGAAGGCACAAACCTACGCATGTACGACTGACGCAGGATTCCTTGAAGACAGTATAGCTATTCAAACAGCAACCAGGAGACAGAGGAACGGTGTAGACAGGAAGGAAGGGAAGAAAACAAGGAAGGAGGGAGAGAGACAGGGAGGGAGGGAGAGAGGTAGACACCAGAGGCTGGAAATGCAGGAAGAGAACAGAGACACCCACATGCCCAGGGAAGAGGAAAAGCAGCTGCTGCAGCTCCCCTGGCCCTGGCTAGGCCACCTGTCCTCAAAGGAGGTCCCAAAGGAGAAAGAATGATGGCTTAGATGCCTGGGTGTGCAGTCTCCAGCCACCAGGCCTGAAGCAAAGTGCCTGTAAAGTTTCCTATTTCATACGTAAAGCTTGAAGGACTTGTGTATAACACAGGCTTGTTTGTTTTATTATTCAGTTTTAAATCACTCTGTCTATAACTCTGGGGCTCCAGCACAGGTGGGATCAGATTCCAAGCACAGTGTTCAACAGACACCACTGAAACTCTTCCTGAAACCATCCCACTAAATTCAAAACACTCACCCATCACTACTTGTTACTCACACTGGTAAGTTCAAAATGCCAGTGGTGCAGTATTACCTTGTTAAGACAGCATTTTCCAATTATCTGGAGTAGCTCATTTGTTCTTTCAGGCTCATGCCCGGCCACAATTCGGGCTGGTTTTGCTGATAATGGCTCTCCTGAAACCATTACAACCACGTCTATGGCCTTCTGTAGGAAGCTGATTTTTGCGTCTTTATCCTAAAATATTTCCATAAAATACAAATGTTAAAATACTTCAAAGAGTTTGTATTATATTCAGTTTGTTCAATAGGCACAAGATAGATCTTGTTTATTAAAAATATTTTTAGATTTATGAGTAATTTTAAAATACTGACCTTTTATAACAAAACAAAAACGATTCATTAAAGCTTTTAATTTAGTGATGGGGTAGTATTAGCCTTTGAAATATTAACTTCATTTTTCAGTGAATAAAATTAGCATGATATGGCAGTTGCCACAAATGAGAAAATGAAATGAGAAAGGTATGTACGTCAATCCACGAATTAATAGACCTTGTATTCCAACCATTTTTCAGCATACAAATGATACGTGCCACAGTACACAGCCTATGAAAAGTCCCCACACGTGAAGGAGAGGAGCGGTAGGGGAGGCGGCACCCCACACAAACCTACCTTCACGTTATCAGACTTCATCTCAGCGTCTGTGTAGAGGCCCTTCATGAAACCAGTCATTCTAATCACCTTCAAGAGATAAAGAGAGGCCATCATAAACCCTCGCAAGACAGCCTCTTCATCAGCCTCATCCATGGAACCCCTGTCAGAATCCACTCCACGCATACTTGACATCTACTACTCGGAGTGTTGCGCCAGGCAGAACGCAGCCCGGTCCTCACAGGACTCAGTCTGGCTAAGGGGGCAGACAGGTAAAGATTACAAACACTTTGCAGGTGCTGAAGATGCACACAGGACTATACCTAATCCACACTCAGGAAGTGTCAGGAAAGGCTTCCCATTAGAAATCGTGAACTGAGCCCAGAAGGCTTACAGAAGAGTTGGGGGAGGGGCCATTTCGGAAGCACATGCCAGACAAAGAAATAACCTGTACCAGGTCCAGGGCCCCCTAAGGACCCTGTTTCAGGGATTGAAAAACGTTTGGGACGGCAGGAGCCTGAAGCCAGAGATACACCAGCCTGACCTAGAGGCCCTTCGGGCCATTCAGTAATAGGAATTTAGCCATTCAGTAATAGGAACTTAGCCAAAAGGAGGCGCAGAATAGTTCTAAGGTGGGGAGAAACCAACCGCAAGAGTCCCTCAGGTGCAGTGGAGGGAATGGAGTCCAGAAAGAAAAGGAAATTTTAGCCTGGGTTTCTAAAACTGGAAGTTCCAGAGGGATCTTTAGTCTCACTACCTGTTGTTAGTCACTTCTTAGGAGAGTAGGGTGAGAGCACCCCATCACTTTCGTTCTCTCCCCATCTAGCCTCCCCTCAGGTAACCTGTAACCTAATCAGCTTTTAGGGCAGTGATTTTCTCTGTTCCTTCCCACTCCAGGCCAAAGTTTTTCTTTCAGACCAAAGTTCTGGGTTCTTTCAGACCAAAGTTTTTCAAAATGTGGTAGGTTACTATAAAACCAATATAATGGTAGCAACAAGCATCTTTTACAAAACAAAACAGAATAGCTGGGTCCCTTTCCCAACAGGCTGCATGGTATGTAGTAAGGACAGGTATGTGTGCGCCAGGTCAGGTATTTATTACTGTGAGACATGTTTTAAAAACAAGATAGTCCCACCCTAATATCACCCTTCTCTGGAATCAAGCTACAAGTACTTAATTTGCATCAAGTTAGCTATTAATTAATCTAGAAGTTTTCATTCCACACCAAACTTCTTAAAAGCCATGCTACTGTTTTTCTTAAGAAGACAGGTGGGACATTAAGGGCATCCTGTATTTAATATTCCTCTAACATTTCACTCTGTCCTTGTTGAGGTTTTCTCAAGATGCTGGCAGTTAAAATTGTAAGCAATAATTCTAAGTAACAAGAGACATTAATGTCATAGGATTCATGCTTAGCTTAATGAAAGAGGTAGTTAGTTTAGCCATAGCTAAAATATAAATATGGTAATTTGAATACAATATTCAGGGACAGTAAAGAATTTTCATAGGGCTGGGAGCTGCAGCTCACACCTGTAATCCTAGCACTTTGGGAGGCTTAGGTGGGAGGATTACTTGAGGCCAGGAGTTTGAGACCAGCCTGGGCAACAGTGAGAATGCGTCTCTGCAAAAGATAGAAAAATCAGCCAGGTGTAGTGGCATATGTCTCTACTCCAACCTATTGGGGAGGCTGAGGCAGGAAGATCATTTGAGCCCAGGAGTTTGAGAATGCTGAGCTATGACGACACCATGCACTCTAGCTGTATAGAAAGAGCAAGACTCTGTCTCCAAAAAAAAAATTTTTTTTTCATAGGAGGCTCTCCACCTATTATCTGAAAATGCTTTCCAGTATGTCAGTCCTTCTAACATCTTCATCAAGTAGGTGACAATTAATGTATTTATCTTTAGACAGGTAGTGAAATTAATTTCAGCGTCAGATTAGGAAAAGTCTTTGGAAGAAAATCATTCCACACAACCTGTCTACCTGACCAACAGAGTCAATGCCCACTCGAATGTTCCTCTGCCTCTCCCATGACGATGCCCTCCAGCCAACCACCAGGTAGTCACTGAGCTGCCACCCTAAGATCCACGGGATAAGCACACACCCTGCGTCTCCCTCCTATAGCTCTGCATTCCATGAGGCAGACAGGACTAACACAGAAGATAAAAGGTGTTGGTGGCCACGGCTATGGTAGATCGGGCTCACATCTGGGCTAACTCTTACTCTTACTTGTTCTCCCCCAGTCAGACGACAGAGCCTGCCTACTTCGTAGGGTGTTGGTGACACAGCACACTGTCCTGCTCCCACAGGGCCCTCCGCACAGCCAGGACAGGCTGCAAGTGCTGGAGGAGGAGGAGGAGACCACTGCAGACAGCCCTTGGGACGTGGGTGGATTCAGGAGCATTTTTAAGCACAAGCAGGGTTTTAAGCAGGGTCACACGTTCCAGGAGAGCGCACATTATAAGCTAAGGAAAGAGAGCAGAAATGAGTAAAGCAAAGTCTGTGGAAGAATAAAGTGCCCAACCTGTGGAAAAGAGTGAGAAAGTTTGAAGACCACCACTGGAAGCCGGCAGGTTCAACCTCACTCCTAAACCCCAAAGAGTTCCCGAGTGCCCTCGGGTGCACCATGGAAATGGGCACTGCCCCCTCCCCACCCCCGGTGGCGACACACCTGAGAGTTACCAGGAGCCTTGACAGATTCCATTCAACAGGGAATGTTTGTTGTGTAATTTCTATGTACCTTGCCCGGTGCAGTTCACCCGAGATGTGCTAACAAACAAGCCACAGTCTCTGCCACTGAGGAATTCACCAACCTCAAGCGGGGAAAAGTCAGGCAACCAATTTCAATTTGTGCGTGTTGTGCAGTTTACTAACAAATACTAAACTGCTCTCTTACAGTTTTTCCTGGCAGGTACCCCTACAACCACCTCCAGTAAATTCACCCAGTGGTATTTATTAATGCTGTGTAGAGGGAAATTGGGGGCTAGGGGGAGTACAGAGAAAACTAATTCCACTTTCCCAAGATTTACGGAGCACCTTCCACGTGCTACCTGCTGCAGGGTACGAGAGAGGGATGTCACAGGGTTGGCGGGCGCGCGACACAGAAACTGCTCTGCCAGGCAGAGTGGAGGATGAAAGAGAGGATATAAAGAGATACACAGGCAGGCGGGAAAGAAATAAGAACGGTCCCTCAGGGGGCCGGGAGCCTCCCTGTAAGAGGTGGCCCAGGGGGCCGTGAGGGCCAGGACCTCCACGCAGAGGGCACCCAAGAACTGGGCCTACTGGTCGCCCTCGGACCGCAGGCCGGGCTCCCGGGACAGGGGCCGCTCCAGCCCGCTCCGACCCCAGCCTCTGACCTTGACGGGGTCCCTGACCCCGACCCTGGGCCGACCAGCACCCGGCCCAGATCCAGCCCCCAGGCGCGGCCCCCACCGCGCACCCGCCCCAGGTGACCGCCCAGCCGCGGACCTCCGACCCGCACCCTGACGCCGGCCCACCCCCGGCCCCGGCCCCGACCGGCCCCGACCGGCCCCGGCCCGCACCCCGGCGCCCACCTCCGTGATGATGTCGTGCAGGTAGCGGAACGGGGGCTTGCTCAGCAGCTTCTCCGTCAGCGGCGGCCTCCGGATCACCTTCCCCAGCGCCTCCTGCGTCCGCCTCACCACCGCCGCGTTCATGGCGGCGCCGCTGCCCGGCTGGCCGCCCGCGCCCTCCGCCGGCCCGGCCGAGCCTAAAGGACTCTGAGGGCATCCGGACAGGGCAAGGGAGGCGGGACTCTGAAGGCAAATCCCGACAGGAGCAGGAGCGGGACTCGAGGGCCATCCCCGGACAGGGACAGGAGCAGGGACTCTGAGGGCAATCCCGGACAGGCAGGGAGCAGGAGCGAGACACTGAGGGCATCCGCAATGGGCAGGGGGGCACAGGGACTCTGGAAGGCATCCAGGAACGGGACAGGGACGGGACTCTGAAGGCATCCGGACAAGGACAGGGAGCCAGCATGCGAGCTCTGAATGCAATCCCGGACAAGGTCAGGGACAAGGGGACTCTGAAGGGCATCCCGGACGGGGCAGGGAGCGGGGTCTTGAGGGCTCCCGGAGCAGGGGCGGGAGCGGGGACGCTGAGGGCATCCCGGACAGGGAGGGAGCAGGGGACTCTGAGAGCTCGGACAAGGGCAGGGAGCCGGGGACTCTGAGGGCATCCCGGACAGGGACAGGGGGCGGGACTCATGAGGCATCCCAGACAGGGCAGGGAGCGGGACTTGGGGCATCCCGGACAGAAAGGGAGCCAGGGGACTCTGAGGGGCACCCAGACAGGGACAGGGGAGCGGGGACTCTGAGGGCATCCTTGGACAGGGACAGGGAGCGGGGGACTCTTGAGAGCATCCCGGACAGGACAGGGAGCGGGGACTCTGAGAGCCATCCCGGACAAGGGGCAGGGGGCCGGGGACTCTGAGAGATCCCGGACAAGACAGGGAGCGGGGACTGAGGCATCCCGGACAGGGGCAGGAGCCGGGAAACTCTGGGCATCCCGGACAAGGAGGAGCGGGACTCTGAGGCATCCCGGACAGGGGA